TTAGCCATAGTTTATAATTCCATCGATTTTTACTTGCTTTCTTAGACCTGCATTTCAATTTCCTTAGTTTGTTATTTACTTGCTTTATTTACCTTTCATGCGATATTTTACTTGCCTTATTTTTGTTTAGTTCGATATTTTACTTATTCCATTTACATTTCATTCGATTTTCTTTACTTGCTTTTTAGGATAGATTTATTTGCTTTCTTTTGTTTTAGTTTAATTCGCAAGAAAAACAACCAACCTTTAAAACAAATTTAGTCTAGACATAAAGTTAAAAACCGTAGAAGAATACCAGGCACACAAATCTCTGTGGATTCGATCCCTAAATACTACAACTGATTAGCTGTGCACTTGCGGCTTTCATTTGTTTTGTTAAGGGTAAAACTTGTTCCCTCACGTAGTTGACACGAGCACGCATCAGGTGTACTTGTACAGCTTTTCTGTTTATAAAAACCTCTCCATGACAAGTCAATGACAGGAATAGGGAGCTAGTGGGTGCCCGTTCGACTAAGGAAAGTTCTATCTCAACATGATTGTCACTCAGACTGGACTGGGGTGTTACCACACTTCACGTCTGGTTTGATCACTGACATGATTGAGCTGAGATGTCACTTCTGCGAAGTAAGGGGGGGATACGATTCTTAAACACGCATATGTCTGGCTCTCTTTCAGGTGGCTGTGTGAAAGCTCCTCGGCTGAGGGTATGCTGCACAGATGAATGACATTACCGAAAGCAGAGATTTAGCTCCATACAGTTGCAGGCTATCAAAGGAATAAGCATAAAATCAGTACTTCCAAGAACAATGATAAGCAACTTGGGTGTGAATGCTCCTCAGCTGAGGGTATGCAGCACCATCTTCTCAGTCCTTAAACTGTGTGGTTGAACTAAGTCTCTGTTTTTCGTCTTGCGTGGAATCATATATTTGTGGAAGGAGAAGCACACACCCCTGAAAAGTATGAAGTAGTATGTCTCCATAGCTTCCTTGGAGATCGGCGGATGATAACTGGTCTTTCTGTTCCTCAGTTGATCAGGTGTGTGAAGGCACCTTGGCTAAGGAAATGCCGCATGTCTGGGTCATGGAAGGAGATTTCTCGGTCAAATATTTTTTCCTCCTCATCTCAACACCTCTACGTGTGTCACACTCCCACTAATCCTGTGAATTTGCCATGGTTAAGCCTATTTTAAGTTGTTGCTTAGTAACATGTTCAGTCCGGGCATGGGGTCCTTACCAAATCTCGCTACAAGTGTTAGACCAGTCCTACAATCTCGTAAGTCTCTTTGAATGGGGTTCTGATGTGGTTTATGTTGTCTGGGCTGATAAGGCCCGTTAGTGCACTAAGAATGGGCTGAGTGTGGCACTAGGGTATTTCCCGCGAGGCTTTAAAAGGTGCTGATGACGTTTCCTGTGCCACAAACCCTAATTGTGTACTACTGCCTAGGTCACTCCCTGTGCAACCCGTCTATCGCGATTCCGCGCAACACTCGTTCTGCCACTGCCAAGCTACTTGCTTCCGCTATCGAAGCCTCTCGTCGCCGCCCTCCTCATGATGAAGAAACCCTGGCAGAAGCTCTTGTTCGCCTTCGGGCCCGACGAAAGGCTCTTCAGCGACCAGGAAAAGAGCCAATTGAAATTCCGAGTGCTGAAGATGACGATTCTGATGGATCTACTGGGGCGGATGAGTTCAGCCCACTGTTCGAAGGGCCTTCTGAGTCGAGAGCAGAATTCTCAAACCCCTTTGCACAATCCTCGACCGACGAAATGGAGGAGGACTCTGTGGAGGATCTCGAGGACTTTGTTGACCCGCGTAAAGCTGATCACCCTCTTTACCTGGATCTCAAGGGACGATATGCTGCGAATCGGCGTTCACAAGTGGAGCATGACCGCATGCAACCTGAGCTCACATACCCTTACCGTCGACCCCACAACAATTTCGCCTCTCTCGCTGCTCAGGAAAGGTTTGCCTCTTTTAATGTTCGCCCTTTTCACAATCAGAAATACCTCCCTCTTGATGATCCAAAACTGGTCGAAGCTCGAAAAATTCTCGATGTAGCTGGTCTGATTTATACTGTTCTTGACGTGGAACCATATTGTCCTACCGTGGTCCATGAGTTCTACGCTAATCTGGGTGACTTGGAGTATCGGAATGGAACGAATCTCATCTACATTCGTGGCCAGATTTTTGAGTTTACACCAGAGATTATTAACAAGATGTTTCTGGTGGATGACTCTCTCCCCTACGGTGACTGGGAGCAAATCCACATTGATGACGCTGTGCACTTGGTTTCTGGAGGTCGGAAAAACCGCTGGGAGGGTTTTCGGTCTCGTCATCTCACTCCTGTCAACGAAGTCATCTACAAACTCTGCTGCTGCAACTGGATGCCGACTACCAACAATACAACGATGGTCAAAGAACGGATTCGTCTTCTCGCTTACGTTGTTCGGGGGAACAAGTTTAACTTTGGCAAAATGGTGTACGACCAAATCCTGACGGCTGCGCGCACTCCTGACATGGTCAACCATAAGCTTATGTTTCCGAATCTCATCTATCAACTGCTCCGATTTCAGCGCGTGGTACCCGGTCTCTTGCTGCTGACTTGGAGCACCTGGCTACATGGCTCAAGCGGGTTCAGATCCGTGTTCGAGGTAAGTTTTGCTGACTCCTATGTCTGAGTTTTTCAAAGTTGTTTTATCTGAATGTCCTCTCAAGCAGGGGGAGAATATGAGGAACTAAGGAAACAAGCAGTGGATCATGGTGTCTCAAATGATGATGGCTTAGCTGAGGGGGAGCAGAACGATGGTGGATCGGCTGAGGGGGAGCAGAGTGAAGACTCGGAGGATGAAAATGAATGGGCAGGACACTAGAGTTCAAATCTTTTCTCTGTACTTTGCTTTGGATGTGTTTGTTGGGTGATTGAACTCCATGTTTTTGTGTTTGGATGACTTGAGTCAATCGTTTGTTTTAATTATCAAACAATGTCTCTTTGTGTTTTGGATGGAAGTTGTTTGCTCTAAGTCTTCGCTTACTTTAACTGCACATACATAGTGTGTTGCCTTGTGGGTGTTTGTTTGTTTGTGGTTGTTCTTGTCTCAGGAAGCTTGGACTCGCACATTCAGATAAAAAGGGGGAGAATGTAAGTGTGGCAGCTCATCAAGGCGATGTGTGTTACACATAGAAGAGCGGGAAATGTTTTGAAGAAGTTCGTGACACGCAAGCTCTAGAAAGAAAGGTGACGTGGCACGACTACAGCAATGCGAGAGAGGAGATCTTATGTATCAAGAAAGGAAGATCAGAATCTTAACAAGAAAAAGGAAAGGAAATATACGCATGCTTAATCAAAGATGTGGTATATATTCCTGAGGCGAAGGGCTCAGTAGGGTTAGCCGTTCTGAGCACAATAGGACGAGAAAAGTCACCAGAGACTAAGAGTGAGATTTAGGGTTCTGGGTGAGTGATTTGTATCTTGTGTGCACAACTTTTGTTGTGTTTGGTTTTGGGTAGATTAGGAATTGGTCAGTGTCGAACAGCTTGCCTGTTTCGTGTAAGTCTGATTAGACAGATTGTATAATTGTCTACGTGATTCCTAATAAGAAAACAAAAGAAGTTTTGCAATTGTGTGTGTTCTACGATATCTCTCTGTGTTACACCTCTTTCAACTTGAACCCGGGAACAAATTTTGTTTGTTCCACCAGTAAATAAGCCAAGGAGCATAGTGAGCAACACGAACTGCCCATTGATCTCTTTTTGGTTGCATGTTAAAACTTTCAGTGGAAAGATTCAAAGGTAAGTTCCTCCACCAAAAGCTAACAACCGGAGAAATCAGAGTTACTCCGGCTACACTGTGAGGGATGTATTTAAGGCATGCCCATGTCGCTTGTCCTCCCATGGAATACCCGAGCACGTAGAATTTTGATCCGAGACTCAATTTATCAGCCAGCTCTTCAATGTCAAAAACCAAGCTTTTTGGGGTACGATTTGGATCCGGATCGCTCTCTCCATAACTGGGTTTGTCGAACGAAACCATATACAAGCTTAACTCCTCCACTAAGTACTATAAAAATGAAATTAATCAAAAAAGTTGATATAGAACTTAATAACACCTTCAATCAAGTAGAGCTCTCGTAAAAGTAGATTCTATTTGATTTTTTTTTTTTGTGAACATTTTGTAAGCACGTTCTATCCTTTCTTTTTTGGGAGAATTGCTTTTATAATGTCAATTGAATTAACATTTGTCCCCTTAATGTTTTCTATTTTTTTGTCACTTTTTGACATAGTTACCCTTTTAAATCAGTTTTGGAAGTTATAATTAAAAATAAATTCGAAAGTATATTTTAAAAACTTCGAAAATACCTAATAAGGAATTTAAAATATTTTCGTATATCATTTATGGAAAGAAAATATTTTTAAAATATTTATAAAATTCGTTCTACGCTTGGTAGAATGCATGTTCTATGTTCTACGTCCACGTAGAATCCCATTTCTATAGTTCTTCACATATTCTACCAGCATGTAGAAGTCGTTTTCTATAGGTCTTTATATCTTCTACCGATTGATAGATTATAACTTCTACTAGATAGACTATATTCTACATGTTAGTAGAATACATCTTCTACCCGTTAGACCAGGTTCTACGTTATTGTAGAATGCATCTTCTACCTATTAGACGTCATTCTACATTAACGTTGAATGCATCTTCTACCTATTAGACTTCATTCTACATTAACGTAGAATGCATCTTCTACCTGTTAGACTGCATTCTACATTAACGTAGAATACATCTTCTACCAAAATCTGAGAAAATCTAGGAAAATTAGTTAACTTCCAGATCTTAAATATTTCGAAATTTTTTTTTTTTTTTAACTTGCAATGTTTTTTTTAGACTAATGCTGTAGCGACGTTTTTTTTTCCCTTTTTTGGCTGTCATCGTTCTCTTCTTCTTCTTCTTTCACATTGATCAAGCAGATTTTTCCTAAAATTACATATTTTCTGCTTCAAACATGCTACATATCTATGTGATTTGTGGTTCATGGAAATCAGGTACAGATAAGAAATGGGTTTTTGTGGCTGATGCAGAAAAACGAGCTAGGTTAGTTGTTGTTGAATCAAATACGACTCTCGCAGAGTTAGAAACAATGGTTCAAGAAGACTATGGAGTAGTCGATCACAAAGCTGAGTTTAGTTATCTACCGAGTGATTTGATTGATACTGTAGGCTCTCCACCAGTGAGTATCGCTAATGATCGTCAGCCCAAAAATTTTGTTGGGTACTCTAGGAATAAAACCTCGGTAAATCTGTGTGTGACATTCACTGCGTATGCTGAACATCCTGAGATTCCAATTAACATCGAATTGATGATGAAAGCCTCTGATTCAAGCTGTATGAAAAACGATCAGGTTGTGAAATCAGGCGATGATGATATTAGAGGCATTGGCCATAAAGTTGAGGACGAGTTTGATGAACCCGTTATGGTTGAGAAAAAAGTTGATGGTGAGCAGAACGTTCGGCTTAACTTGCTTGATGTCGTAAAAAAGGATCAAATTTTTAGAAGCAAAACAGAGTTGAAGGCTTCTTTGGAAATTTCTGCGATGAAGTATAATTTTGACTACAACGTACTGGAATCAACCAAACGTGTGTGGTGTATCCGCTGCAAAGAGAAGTCATGCAACTGGCGTATTCGTGCACAGTGTCTTGAAGGGTCAGAGTATTTCAGAATCAATAAGTATGTCGCTCAACATACATGCGGTCCTTCTAATAAAGACGTAGTCGGTAGGACAGCTTCAGCAAAAACTATTGGTAATCTGATTAAGAATAAGTTTGAGGGTGCTAATGCAGGACCTAGCCCTAGAGAAATAATTCATTTTATTCGTACAGAGCATGGATGTGACATCTCTTACGACCATGCTTGGGAAGCACGTGAGTATGCGATTAGTATTGTTCGAGGCATTCCCGGGAAAAGCTATGCCAAAATTCCTAAATATTTGCACATGCTGAAAGAAGCGAATCCAAGGACCCATACGCAGTATGAAACTGACATTACTGGACGTTTCAAGTTTCTGTTCCTCTCTTTCGGTCAATCAGTACGAGGTTTTTACAAAGCTATTCGCAGAGTGATTGTTGTGGATGGGACATTTTTGAAAAATAAATATAAAGGAGTTTTGCTCGTTGCTACAGCATTAGATGGCAACTCGAACTTATATCCGATCGCATTTGGGGCTGTCGATTCAGAGAACGACCTGTCTTGGGAGTGGTTTATGAGGCAACTAAAAGTTGTCATTGCGGATGAGGTGCGTTTGGCTTTTGTGTCAGATAGAAATGTTTCTGTAATTAAAGCACTTGAGAAAGTGTACCCACAATCTAGCCATGGTATCTGTATCCACCACTTGCTGAATAATGTGATAACATTTTTCAAGACACAGGGTTTGACTGGTTTGATTGCGAAGGCTTTTAAAGAGTACAGAGTTTCTGCTTTTGATACCAAGTTTGCTGCCATTTGTTCTATTAGTCCAGCTGTTGGAAAGTATCTTCAGGACGCTGGTGTTGAGAAATGGGCACGATGCAAATTCCCCGGATTTAGGTACGATATTAGAACCACTAACCCAGCTGAGTCGATAAATAATAAATTGCTAACTCCTAGAGAGTCCCAAGATACGAGCGTCCCAAGGATCACAACGGTCTAAGAAGCACAAGTGCAGTCGCTGTGGTATCGAAGGACATAAGAGAGGGACATGTGACATGCCAATATAGGCTCTTCTCTATCTCTTTTTTTTTATTGTTACTCGTTTTGCTTATTTGGTTTTCTTATTTTTTTTCACTTTAGGAAAGACAAATTCTGTACTGATTTTCAAGTTTAAGTGCCAAACTGGAGGTTTAACTTAGTTTAGAGATGCTTTGTACAATATGTGATGAATTTCAGGGTTAACAAGTCGTATGGGATTTCTGAGATTTTTTAAGAAAAAAAAAGAAACACATTAAAACATATTGCAAGGAAACAATTCTCGATTTATTATAATAGCTCTACTGTTTCCCCTATGCTCATTCGTTCTCTCAGACCTGGGTTCGATACCCCCTGGACGGAGTTCCAGTTTTTTTAAATAAAAACGACCTAACATATTTAAAAAATATTGCAAGGATACAATTCTTGATTTATTACCATAGCTCTACTGGTTCCCCCTGTGTTCATTCCTACTCTCAGGCCCGGGTTCGATACCCCCTGGTCGTAGTTCTAGTTTTTTTTAAATAAAAACGACTTTACATAGTTAAAAGATATTGCATGGATACAATTTTTGATTTATTACAATAGCTCTACTGGTTCCCCCTGTGTTCATTCCTACTCTCAAATCCGGGTTTGATACCCTGTGGACGTACTTTTATTTTTTTTTCTTTCTAACCCAAAAAAATGCATTTACTGGGTTCCTCAACCCCAAAAAAAACGACTTTCTTATTTTTAAATTTCTAATCTAAAAAGTTCATGTAGAATATTTTTTCTTTTACGAGAAAACCTTGTGTTGCTGAATTTTCTGGATCAATGAAAAAAATGAGCAATCAGATCAAGCAACATAAAATCACTACGTCAAGAACACAATGTCAAGCAACGAAACATACGATGCCAAATAAAATAAAAAAAAACTGAACCACCTAAAACGAAATATGTCAAACCTATAACAAGTCTACAATATCATCTGAGCACACTGTTTTCGGAGGCACATACTTTCTCATCCGCTCAATCAATATTGGATCATGTGCTGCTTTCCAAAGATCATAGGTGATCTTCATCCTAGCTGCGTAAATGTTGTCGTCGTTAAGCAAAGACAATTGTAGTCCAAGCATGTGACACTCAATGAATTTGAGCGCATAAACTCCACAATCACATGAGCTCCTATTGATCCCAGGCCTCATCGGAACATACTTCACTGTGTACGGTTTAATAACCAGTTGCTTCTTCTCTTTGTAACTTTGAACTTTCTTCACAACTCTAGGGATGATGTTTGCGAATGCATCCACGTACCGGCTGTGTTTGCCCCCGTCGCAATCAAAAACTTCCACTGTTCTCAGCTCAAAATTGATGCACAAAGATATCCAGTGGTTGTTCTTGACATTGACCGGAGTATATATACGATCAACGTCGACACCCCAAATTTTGTCTGTTCTTCCATGTGCCGGAAGCGCTCCTAATCCATATTTTATGAGCAACTGGTCCACCTGGTATCTTCTTTTATTCATCAGAAATTGTTTGTACGCAGCACCAACTGTGACGCTGAAATTACAGGTCATGAAGCCAACACGAGGATGTGGAAAGCGGTCCAAAGAAGTGTACACTCGAAATAAGTACATAATTCCATCCATTTCCTGCAACATTAACATCGGTTAACCACATTGGCAAAGTTGAACACGTTATGATTTTTAAGAAAATCAATTTTAAAGGTACTTACCAGAGTGCGCAACCATAGTCGTTTATTCATGAGACGATTAGCTACTTCTATATTATACACGAGGGGACCAACTAATAAGTCTCTGAAATAATTTAAAAATAAGAATAATAATAAATAATCAAATACGTGTAAGTTCAATATTTTTCTCTAATTTAAAAGTGTTTATGACATGACTAAAAAAGTGTTTTAGTGCTTACTCGCGTGTCCGTGACCACTCCTCTACACTTTCCCAATCGCTTTCTGACACATGAATCAATGGGCGATCTGCATCTTCTGACTGTGTCGGATCGTAATCAGCTACAAATGAAGATTGAGAAATTTTGTTAAGTGCTTTTGCGAGTAAAGCGTCTTCTGGATCCATTTCCAGGTCGAAATCCATTTCTTGACTGAGAAGCACGTCATGGAGTTCTGTGTTTCCATCTTCCTAATAATGTACAAAATAGTTCTTGTATTATACGAAGAGAAAAAAAGTGGAACTTAGAAAATTAACAACATGTGTGAGACAAATATATTACATTATTAACATGACATATTTCAAGTTTACCAAAGTCTACATAAAAAAATAGATTTTTCAAGCGTAGTTTCTAAACACACATATTACATTTTAAAAATAATACTACCACACACACAAATCTAACAACTACATTATCTTTTATATTATACAGAACACATCGTAGCCTAAAAAAAGACATTATTTTTTATTCTAAGGCATCAGGTCTTAGTATTTCTGCGCTTCCTTACCTTTTTGGAAGGGTGCAAAGTCTCCCCATTGCTTAGAATAGCACCTGCAGACCTCGTTATGGATTTGGAGGCGGCAATTGTTGACGCTTTAGCAGCTAAAGGGATGACACTGGTAGATGTTTTTGCCGGTAAAGGAACGTCACCAGCTGTGCCTGCGAGTGTGAAAAATAAATGCAATGAGATTTTTGCATATAAAGCAATGAAATAATTTGCTTTTGTGTGAAACGTACCAGATAGTGATTTTGCTGCAAATATGGGAACATCATTGGTAGATGTTTTTGCCGGTAGAGGAACGTCACCAGCTGTGCCTGCGAGTGTGAAAAATAAATGCAATGAGATTTTTGCATATAAAGCAATGAAATAATTTGCAAATGTGTGAAACGTACGAGATAGTGATTTTGCTGCAAATATGGGAACATCATTGGTAGATGTTTTTGCCGGTAAAGGAACGTCACTAGCTGTGCCTGCGAGTGTAAAAAATAAATGCAATGAGATTTTTGCATATAAAGCAAAGCAATGAAATAATTTACAAATGTGTGAAATGTACCAGATAATGATTTTGCTGCGGTGGGAGTAGCAGTAGTGAATCCACCTGCTTGGATGGGTTCCATAATCTTCTTCTCAAGCATCTCCACTATGTTTTCTATTTTCTTCTCCAACAGCTCTACTCGACTATCAATGTTCGCCTGAAGTCTCTCCTCCAAAGCTTTTAACGAGGTCTGCAAAAGTCCTTGAATAAAAGACTTAAAGTCCCCATCGATGGCTTTCGCAGCTGATCGATCGCACATCAACTTCTGCTTCCGTGTTTCTGCACCAGGTTCAGCGACCCTTTTCTTTCCTCGACTCGAACCTGCAACTGAGCTAGCTACAGCAGGTGGTGTCCTAAATTGGCTTTCTTCTGCGACATTCTCATTCTCTTCATCTGTTTCTTCCTCATTCTCGTCAAGAGTTGCAGGTATTGCTTCTTCTACCGCCCAATTATGGTGACTCCAATCCATTCCATCATTGATCATCGTTTTAAGACGATCCACTCTTGCGTCAGCCATTTCATCAGGCCATACGAAGTCCAAAGAATCGACTACATCATCATTCCCAGTGGAAGAGATATAGTGATAGAGCTTCTCCTGTAAAAACAAAAATGGGACAATTAGCATGGAAATACAACAAAGCAAAAAAAAAAAAAAACCGCAAAAGAATCAGAAATCACCTTCGTGCGAAACGTATGTTCGATATGCTTAATATCTGAAATTTTCACATAGCTAATGCCGTTCCACTTAGAGTATCTAGCAACACCAGCGATCACATCGTCCAATCTTGAAGACAGCATATATCCGAGAACGGGAATTGCCTCCATGATCCAGATTTGAAAAGGTATTGAGAAGCCATTCAGTGCATAGCCTGTAGATTGCGTCAACTTCACACGAACTTTCTTGATACTCTGCACTAGAAAATTAAACGCTACACGTCCCCATGGGTACTTCCGTAGCTTCTCTAGATCCATAACAAGAATGATATATTCTTTTGGGATATTAATGGTCTTGCTCTTTGCCATTACCAGAGAAGCAATAACATACAAGTACACTAACCGCAACCTGTCTTCACGCGTCCATTTGTTGACACGCCCAAGATACTTAGTTTCTATGTTAGACAAAGTAATTCCACGTTTGCTTCTCAACAACTTACTCCAGAACCCGCCATCATCAACCCAATCACTGAAATCACAAGTCTTATCGTCGTCCGTGTTCAGTCCAGTAATCGCATGAAATTCTTGCAGAGAAAATCGAAGAGGTCTCCCCGCAAACACGAACCATAGCTCGTGTTTCTTGTCGGTGATGAGCTCCTTACACAGAAAGCTATGGATTAGTCGCCCTGAATATCCCATGTCGTTCTCGATAATCGACAAAACAGGTCCAAAGACAGGGTCTAGCAGAACTTTTTTGTATTCGTCTGAAAGTGCTTTCTTAACGGGGTCCATTGTGTTAAGAATGCATCGATTGTTGATCTTGTCAATATCATTCACAAAACTAGGCTCGAAAAGCAGTTTCGGAAGTTCCTCGTCCATACCTACGAATAAAAACAAAAAAGACATGGCAAAAAATTTGGCTTCAACTTCATCACGACAACTAATTAAACTACCGGTATATTAATTAAAGCATATAGTATATGGGTTTAACAGTGTCATTTTTTCTTTTATATATTGAATTCGAACTTCTTTAACAGAAGCAAAATACTAATCGTTCCAATATTTGTACGCAAAGACACAAACAAAACCAAGTTCATCGTTATACAATATTTAATACAGATTCCCTTTCAAAGTTTGAAATCTTCAAAGATATGCTCTGTCTCAGCTAATTAGTTCATTGTATTTGTAATCAAATGATGGCTTTGATTGATAACTTAGTTTTCTGCAGCGGTAAAGGTTATACCGTTAATTTAGTGAGAAATCACATATAATATAAAATTTTATGTATCGAAATGAATACTACAACTAATTCTTCTGTATACCG